AAATCTAGTGGACGCTTGAGATTGCCAAACAGATCAAATCACTGGCCCCCAGGACACTTGTCATGGATGGTAGTTAGTCAGTGAAGAGTATTCAATTTTGAATCATATCCTACTCAAGTAAGAGCCTCCTCCACTCATTGGGTGTCCTTCTTTCTCCGTGACTCAGTTCACGGAAGAATGGTTCCTTCTGGGAAAAAGCCGTGTTGGAATCCAAATACGTAGACCTGTTTGATTATCATCTTTGTAAGAGCTTCTTTCTTCAGACATATCCTTTCTTGCAATCAACTGACAATTCGGTTTCAAAATTTCCTTCAAAATCGGGCCGGCAAAAGATGGCGAGAATGATCTGAATTCCTATGCTGCGTAAGTGACGTGATGCTATCCCCCATTGAACTTGATACCAACCAGGACAAATCCCCATAAATCTCTCAACAGTCTGCACAAAGAAGTACGCGCTCACGGGAAAACCCTAATCATTGGTGAACACGGATTTTGTAAGTTCAGAATTGTTATGTATATATGTCTCGCGATGACACGATCCAACTTTCCAAGAGAAGGCATCCCAGTGATATCTTTGTTAGTTTTACTTTTCCAGATGCGAACACAGCCGCCTATAATGAAGTATACAAAAAGTTTGATTGTGCCGGCGCACTGATTTGGTCCTTGAGGGGGCATTCCGACAAGAGCGGCTTTGATACCCATGAAGAGGGGAACAACATCTTTAGCTACCATGCCCCCGGTTGGCAGATTCAAACCTCAAAGGCCTTCGACACTCAAGAAAGCAGTGTGATCTCCGCAACCTATAATGCCAGGTAATTTCTCCCTCTTGTGTTTTTTCTTTATCTCCAGCCCCCTCCCGTGATCAGCTTTCTTTGACTGATATAATCTTCATCTTTTTATTATCAAAATTAACGAAACCTCAGCTATGCCATCCTGGGACTTGAACCACCACCTAAACCGGTTCCAGGGACGCCACACCCTTTTTTCGTTACCAACGGCACACATCCAGGTCTTTCATGGAGAGGAGCTAGCTGGGCGGATCGGTACGAGATACTAGGGGTAAGTGGTCGCTCCAACGGATTATTTTATCCTCGTTACAAGGACTATAAAGTATGAACTGAAAGATAACCGTCGGCGGGATCTGCGAGCCAGACACATCTACAGGGCTTATCCTTCAACGTTCTTTCGGATCAAGTGCAGGATAACGTGGGTTCCGGCGAAGTGTTTGTCCCACTGGATCCCCACGAACCTACGAAGCTTCTGAAGGTCCAGCCGGGCAAGCCGAAACCGCACGAGTCTCATGGAGGGTGGGTGGATAGGAAGTGGTGTGTCCCGGGCTCGGCGTGCTGGAAAGCCATTCACTTGTTCGACAAAGCCAAGAACGACTCCATCGCCGATTTCTCGACCTCCGGCAGATCCAAAAAACTATCCAAGTTCCACATCAATCCTCTCGCACAGTCATCCGCCAAGCCGAGCTACCAACTCCTCCCTTCAATGTTCCCCACTAGCTCTCCAACCCGCAAACGCGCCTTCGAAGGCGCCTGGTATTCCGTCCGTGCAATCAACTCCGATGGCGTGCCGGGAAAACCCTCTAGAGCCGTTTTCCTCAAGTCCAACTGGTTCAACTGGCATTCCAATAAATGATACAAACAGTCACTCGGGAAAGACTTTCTCTCAAGCTTCCTTGTCATTGGAAATTTCAACTGCATACACAATGCGAAACTGCAATTTTTCTCTAATAACAAGGCTACAGGTTTTAGAAGCCTTCCTCGATCATTTTGCTTAATCTCATTCTGTCTAAACTTTCTGAATATCTACACCTATAGTCTCACCAAAAAAAGAAAAGATAAAAACGGAAATTAACTTTTCACTAAACTTTCATCAATTTCTCAGTATCCAGTTTCATCCATGTAGCCCCCCCTCCTCCTTTTCCCCAAACCCATTGAACAAAGAATAATGATTGTATGTAGTAGTACTAACTTTATCACACAAGCAAAATCTACTCTTTTTCATCATTTAATTCTCTTATTGATGCTTTTCTCAGACAAGACAATTACCAAGCACACGAAATACGATCATGGATGTAAAAAAGTGATTGCCCAAATAGAGATATCAGCAGGTCTAAAAAAAAAACATAAACGTCTGTGGTACTAGCCTGCAGTCATACAATTTGGGATGAAATCTGGCCGGGCTAAGCTCAGCCTCTGGTCTACAGAGAAATTTGGGCTGGGTTCATGGAGAACCCTTTATTGAAGAGTAGCTACAGAACTAGATCAGTGAACCAACCTGCATCCTTACATTCACAGAAGAAGTCCCGGATGATGGGGCCATGTCAAGGTTCTTCTTATAATAGTAGTCATTGACACTTGCTCCAACTGGGTCTGATGTAAATCTTCCAGATTAACCAAATACGTGAGATTGATGGTTAAAAGGCACCAGTGTATATAACCGTGCAACTGGGCATCACCAGTTCTCTTCCCCTTCCACCCAACTCCACCGTGTTCATCATTTTTTGCTGCAAAGAAAATAGGTGCACGTGCCATGGGTTCACCAGAAAGATGAGATCCACATAGGGCTCTGAATTTTGACAATTTTCTTGGGGGTTTAGGATAAAAAAAATGAAGAAAGCAGTTCATGAGAGATAGTAACAACAAGACCAATGATAATAATCAAAAAGAAAGACATGGAGTAGTAAGAGTGGGGTAATCCATTAAGAAGTGATCTCCAACTGGCGTTGTTTTTTTTGTTGAGTTAAGCTTGAATACGAGGAAGATGCGTGTTCAAGGATCAGTTTCCATGGGAGCAGGCTGAGCAGTGCCATCGTCCTTCGGGTCCATTTGAGCCAAATAGGGAGCCAGAGCATCGCCTTCGATGATTTCAAACTTGTGGTCAGGCCCAACAATGCCTAATGAGGTGTTCAAGGTCGTCAACTCTTTGTCTTGTTGCAGCGTGTCTCGGAGTGCATGTAAGCCGTGTTTAATCAACTCATCCAGGCCACCTTTTCCGTCCAAATTAACAACATGCAAAAAAACGTTCCGTCAGCTCATACTCTTTGTATTTATTTTTTCAATGTTGTGTGAGAATCAGAAATCACTTACAATCCAAAAACTTCTCAAAATGTTTTTCTAAATAAGTCTTCGCTGATTGTGATCGAGCTCCAATCGACATCGCAAAATACTCTAGACAGTTTCCAGAGGGGCTGAATTCGTAAAGATGAGGACCAGTTTCCTGAAGCAAGAAGCACATAAGATCTCCGTCATATTTACAACAAGAAACGAGGGGCAGGGGGAAGCTGATTTACATCATGTCCACCAATCAGAAATCCAACGCCGTAAGGTCTACGTCCATACTCTTGTGTATTAACTTGAGCCTCTGTTTTAATCCAACCCAATCGCCCCAAAGTATTCAATCATCCGGTTTCAAAAAACCAAAAAAGGGAGGTGATCGAATCTCAAACCCAGTTGACTTACTATCAGCAATTGCCATCACCGATCGAGATAGTGGCAAGGGTCGATTGTGTAATAACCTAGACGTCATCGATTGTTGTCTCATAAAGTTACTGCATCATTTTTTTTCCAATTATCAGTGTTGTTGCTTCCGAGAAATGGAAGCCTGGCCTTTTGTTTTTGAGATGTTTGATTGATCGAAGGGGGAGATAAAAAAAATGGAAGGGTTGGAGGGCTGACGATAATACTCTAGCATCGCTGGTCAATCCGGCAATGGCGATCCCGATATGATCGTCGATTCGGATCAACTTCTTCTGATACGAAGCCAATTCACCGGTTGATCTCTACATTGAGAAACATTCAAAAAAAAAGCATGGGTTAATATCAATCCAACATACAAGTGGAATAATAATCGATAACTGAATGTACTTTGAGAGCAAGAAGTAAGACGTGAGTGTTGTTCCTCAGTCCGACCGAAGCCGAACCTTGCTTGACAGCCTCGAGCGCATATTCTACTTGATGCAATCGACCCTGAGGTGAAAATACCGTATTACTGTTGCCGATCAAACCGACAAGCCAGGTTTTTTTTGTTTTGTTCAAAGAAATCGTTAGTTGCCTGTATGGATTCTTCTTTGTTTGTTTATCTGATATCGGGAAACATTAATCAAGGACGACTGAACTCTGAATCGTACTAAAGATATGAAGTCATGTCAGACAGTTTCTTGGTCGATGATATCCAGTTGAAGAATTTGACTACAAATCCATAACAGTACTGACGTTGTTCCTGAACATGACGCTAGATGATCTCCTTTCTTTCTTTTTCAAGTTTCCTTCGATCGGTCTTTGTCGTCCTGATATCTATTATTTTGGTTTGTTGTTCTTCTTTTTCGATTGGTCAAGCTCGCCGAAGCTTACGTAAGCACCTCTTTTATCAACCTGGCTTGTCTGTGACATATTTGCATACGTCATCGGTCCTCGCCGCGTCGTCGACAATCGGTCCGATTTATCATTCTAGGTGAGGATACGATCCGGTCCGGGTCCGGGTAGAGCTCATCCGGCATCCGTACTCGGTATATCCGGCCCGAACAGGATGTTGCAATTTTTTTATAGGACATTGTTGATGTCAATGATATAAGAGCAACTCCACCATAGCCCCTATCTTTGAGCTATTGTTGCATCTCCACAGGGGTTGCTATCCCACATTTAAGCGAGTTGCAACCCAAACTTGAAAAAGATGACCGGTCACTTTTTTTACATTTTTCTTTCTTGATCTCTATCCAGTCTCCAAGTTTGAAGAGTGAAACCCAAACACCACACATCACATTCACCAGATAACAACTTCATCTTAACAATGCCCAGTGTGTGCATCAGCACTTTGGGTCTTCAAACCTTGAATTCCAGTTGCTATCATGATGAGAAAATTGCAACCCAAAATTAGCGACTCCCATGGAGATGCTCTTAAATTGTGATGCTTGCAACTACACAACCAGCTTTATGGCCTTAAACTACTGCAGCATACACCACAAGGTGGTAAGTTGGTTGGTAAAAATCTATGACAGGTGTTTCCCTGTGCTGGTGAGTGGTGTGTGGGTGTCAAGTTGTTGGAATTTAGCCATCATTGTTCCTTTCCTCTTTTCTTTTCTGTCACACACATGTCACTCCTTCCTCATCTGTCATTCTTTTCTCTCTCATTTACAGATGAATATGCTTCTTCACCTTCTGTCCCACAACTCAGCCATAATTTGTATGTAGATAAATAACCATGCTTTCTGAGTTAGAAAATGAAATCATCAGTCTTCTGCAAACTTTTCCCTGTGGTCTCTAAAAGATACAACCACTTGTAGCGTGAGTGCTTTTCCACCACGCACACTAGCAGCTCATAGCCCCCTTTTGGGCTCTTTGACCACCAATTTTTCTCTTGAGTCTTTTGCCTCAAGATTTGTTCACCTGTCCTCTGTCCTCAGTTCTCACCTCCTCATCCCAAAATTTCATCACAAGTTTCACAAGTGGGTGCTGTGTGAAAGTGTAGTATGGGGACAATAGGCAAGACCATAGGAGTCCCTACATCTGAGGAGTTCAGAGCAGAATTTACAGACTACCATAAAGTTTAACAACCGTGGTGGGTTATATTGAGTCTGTCAACGTCACCTACGGACCCAATTTATGGCCCACAGTGGAGGACTTCCCGTTGGATCTAGGACCCTCGCAGTCTGCAATTTAGACCCAAAAAATCTAGATTTTTGCAGGGAAATCTAGCTTTTGCGGCTCTAAATCAAGACTGGGAGACCTGCAGATGTTGACGGGAAGTCATCCAGTGGAGGTTCTCTGACCATCTAACAATTCTTTTTTACTTGTTGAATTCAGTAACTCTTTTCATCTTTTCTCTCAATATCAATCCTACTTAAAATCTTATCTGGACAGTTGATCACAACATTGGTGGAATTCCCTTCAAATCAGGGACCCTGGAAGTTGTTGATCTACACTCAAAAACTCTAGATTCTTGCAGGTAAATTTGGTTTTTTGAGGCTCCAGATTGGTGCTGGGGGACCCGCAGATTTCAACAGGAAGTTCCCCATCACCAGTTTGCTTGTCAATGTCTGTTTTTGTTTCCATGTATCTCACATATTTACATGTGCCAGTCAAGTCAGAATACAATTGTTGAGGCTTTGTTTGGCTGCCTATGTTCTTTGTTTGGCTGTTCACAATTGTCATAAATGATCATGGAAAATATTTTGGGGGTGCACAGCATGCACAGCTGATTATCACCCTCTGCTTTCCCTCACATTACCCTTACAACACACATATCCTCCCCATCATAATCTGCACCCAACCCCCCTT